ATGAACACCTGATTAAATTTTCATTAAAATCGATGCTGTAATTTTGTTATACACGTAAATAATCGGACATATATGTAATTATATTATTAAACCAATACAATAAAACAATAATGTTCACTTCCAGACCTAATTTTCAGTCACGGCTTTATGGAGACTAGCTTTTGATCTAAGCAGGACAGAATTATATAATGAAACAGTAATGCACCAATTTGTGCTCAAGCACAAGTGCACTATCTATTCCCTCACTCTAATCGTCCGAACGGAGAGAATCAGGCGCAGAACCAACGGCTTTACGTGCTATCCACTCCGGGCTGCCACTGAGAATTACTTGACGGAATAACCCTAATAATTGATGGTCCGTCTCGGATCCACATTATCAGGAATCATGCTTATGGCCACTACCAGAGAAGCAGTATGAATCGGTCATATAATAAACCACCAAACCGGAAATTCATAGTAATGGCAGATCGTATTGCTATATTTACCATTACTATTGGTATATTTACCAAAATTAATTTTGTTACCTATGCACTAAGCTAATTGTAATGGTTATTGTAAAAAAGCATTTATAAGTTGAGACGATTATGCGAGTACACTTACGTAACACGGCACATAACAAGGGATTAGAAGGCGGTGTGAACGTGTGATGGTTTACAATGGCTTATGGACGACAGTTTTAGTGCATCTAAGCTCGAACTGTTTGCCAATGTTTGATGACGTCATTTTGGTTGTACAATAAGAATAGATAGTCACCTAATTATAATTTTATCTTATCAAACTATCCGAAACAGACTCCAGTTGAAACCTTAAATTATATAGTAGCGAAGTCTCTATAAAAACCCAGAAGCCCGGCTTGCCTTATAAAGCTGAATCAATCAATAATATCAAGTAATAAAATAACTCGTAAACTGTTTTAAACTATTTCAAATTTCGACCTCGTAGCCTTAGGAATACTGCAGTCATACATATAAGGACTATTGAATTGAGCGATTCGTTGTCTCCCTCGCACGCGTGGGCTTTTTACCGGGCTTTCGAGAAGACGATCGCTCCCTTTCTAACCTGCGGCAAAATGTTCTCTAATGAAATATAACTACGAAATGTTTATATAGCAATTACTATTGAGCCACAAGCCTGGCTTTGCCCTGAAGTTGTTTAGGAGTGCGTTAGCGACTAGCGAATGGGGTGCGGGCCATTCGTATGCAAGTTCACTTCACATTTCAATGTTTATGTTTGTTTTGTTGTGTTTGTTAAAAATTTATGCTTTTTCAAAGATTTTCAGTGAAAATGGGAGGATAATAGTGTTCATTGTGATGAATATAAGTGTATTGAAGTGCTAATCGGCGAGGAAAAGGTAAAATCTTTAAAAACGAAATTTAATATTCAATAAACATTTCTCCATACTTTAAATATAGGTGCCGAACTCTTTAGTATTAAAGTTTAATTAAGTTAGGTGTATTTAAAGGTTTAATAGCTCAATATTTATATTACCATATGAATTAAAAATATCATTTTGAAAGGCAGCATAAAATATGAGACACCTAGGTTTAATTTTATAGGAAATAAGTGTTACAATCTTTTTTTTTAACGTGAAGCCCAAATTTTAATGTAATAAATCAAAAGAATACAGAAGAATGTATTGAGGTTTTTAAAGAATACTCCCTTTTGTTATTTCCAGTATATAAAATTTTAATAGCGCCATCTACTTAAGTCATTTTATCGAACGAAAATTGGTTGATTCTCACGATGGTACCTAAAGATTACGCTAGATGGCACAAATACGCTATCGGCTAATTTAATATTTATATTTACCATATGAGTTTAAAAATATCATTTTGTACGGTTTATTATAAATTGAAAGTGATTAATTATATAATAAAGAGTCATTATTTTATGGTAAAAAATTAGCAAAACTTTATCTTCTCATTATAACTATCTAATTCGTGTCGTAATCTGTTCTTTTATGCATATAACTTAAACAAAATAATTTCGAGGTTTCACATCTGCCAGGCGTCCCTTTTTTAACTTTGTACATTGTTTGTACTTTGTTCATGCTTTTCTTTTCTTCATGTATTCTATTGTTTCTAAATATCTCAAGCAAACCCAAACGGCTCTTTTCAAAACCACCGAAGGTGTGCAATTGCATATGTCATACAATCTATCTAGCGGTAGTATGCTTTCTGTGTGCTTTGTTAAACACGTCCTTGACAGCACTGAATATGAAACTAAAGAGTGGAGACAGCTCAAGATTGGTGTATTTTTATTAAAGTGTTAAAAACAACAAAACCTTATCTTGGGCTTGCCCTAGTTTGGAACCCTAGCTTCGCCACTGATTATATACTACTTTTGTGATAAGACGGTAATAATGTAGGTATCGCGTACACACTGTACACCCGCGTACCTGGGCGGTTCTCACCGCCCAGACCATCGACTGACACGAGCTGAGCAGTTAGAGGCGGGGATCCGCACGCCCCCCCCCCCGGACAGCGGTTAGATAGCTCAATAATGCCTAACGAGGCGACGTGATGATTGGTAACAATACCAAACCATAAACCATTGTCATCATCATCCTCACGTTCATTGCCTTTCCCTTTTTTAGGCGGGTTTTTTTTTTGAGTCAGATGAAGCTGTAAGAGTCGCATAGACTAACAGCGCAAACATCTCGAAAATAGAGAATAATGTAGGCGTTGCATCGTTAGGCGTTGTAAGAATATCCACTATATCGTCCTATATCGCCCTATATCGTCCCGTGAGAAACTGAATTTGGCAGCAATACCTTCCCGATAACAACTCAAAATAATAAGACTGCGTTTGCCAACCCGCCTGATAATACTGCCAACTATAGCAACATTCATATGTTGCTATAGTTGGCAATCTATGGGGGAGGACAATTTTCAGCAGGAGAATTTTCGCCTCGCTTTAAACTCGCTTGCAAATCGTCAGTGTGATAGCGGCCTAATGATTAAACATGCTCTTTCTTTCTTTATTTCTGAATTTTCGTAACCATTTAGGTACCAATAAATCTGATTGTTTGAGCTAGCTGTAAACTTAGAGGGCTCCAAAAATCTTATAAAGTTTCTAACAAGGATTTTAAAGAACTGATTTATAAATATTCTGCGTGTCTATCCAAAAACGCTTAAAACGACTATCTTCTAGGAATGCCCGGCGCTAACGGCTTATCGTGGTTTTTGTTGCACCGCGTTTAGCCCGTTAAAGATTTTATCGATCTTAAAATATCTGACATGAGACCTTGCATTTCTTAAATGAACTGACGGCTCGGTAGGGCTGTAGCTGAGTCGCGCGCTGTGGATTGTGAGTTCAAATGCCGCAAGGAACAGTTAGTGTGGCATATTATGGCTTCGCATCTTATTATTTGTCTTTATACAATATATGTCTAAACCGATTGCAGATATCGTGGAGTCGTTGCTCCACGATGTCGGTATCGTATTGCATTGCCACCTGCATTATTAGCGTGTACTTAACGTTTATAACAAAAATACCAAAATATGGTAAAATTAAAAATTTTGTACAACCAAATTCAATATAAATAAAATGAGAACATCAATGTATTACAAAGTCGATTAAATACGCATTATTAATGATAACTCAAAAAGTACTTATCAGATCTTGATCAAATTTATATGGGACTACACGAGAAGCACCAGCTTTCGAATAAAAAAAGAGTCATCAAAGTCGGTTCACCAAAAAAAAAGTTCGGAGGTAATACACATAAAAAATTAAAAAACATACAGTCGAATTGAATCCTCCTTTTTGAAGTCAGTTAAAAATGAAATACTTTTTCTTTCCATGTGGCTTTAGGTATTTATTTCAACACCAGCTGGTCGCCACTACATCGCCCGCGTGAAATTTAATGCGATTTTATTGGTGTTAATTTTTTGCGTGGAACACTCATTCTTTATCTATAATAAAAGTAGCCTAAGTTACTTCTTATGACATCAGCTACCTGTTAGTGAAATTCTTGTCAAATTCGGTCCAGCCACTTTGGAGATTAGCCGGAACAAACTGACAAACCCATAGACAAAAAAATTGTTTTTGTTATAAGTACCGTATATAGTTTTATATGCATTTAGTAAAAATCTGAATTATTACATTACAAACAGACATTTCATTTTTATTTATTTATATAGATAAAGTCCGGTTACACCAGTCTTAGTACATTCTATGAATATAATTTAATTTATTGTTCTCATAAATGTTTGTCCTCCACACTGAATTGCGGTCATGACGGCCACTCTCAACGGAGACTAGTTATTTGCGCAGGACAGGATTATAGTGCCCGAGTGTGTGCGCACAGGTGCATCCTCTATTCCCTCACTCTCATAATATTTTAAATTAATTAATAGGTATACAAATATTAATTATTATCGATTGGTCCTTTTTTCTACGTTCAGTGAAAGAATAAGACAATATGCAAAATTTGTTGAGAAAATTAATTTACAGATTATAGACTATATAATTTTATAGAATATGGGTTAAAAATAGCACACAGTTTACCAAATATTAAATGGGTTCAATGGCCCGCAGATATCCTATATCTATCCTCGATTAAGAATCGCGGATGATCGTCAAAGTCATTGGTCCTGCGTCCAATGTCTCTCCGATCGTGTCGGATTACCGTCGCAGTCGATTACCAATCATCATGTCGCCTTTTTAGGCGCTATTGAGCCAACAATACCAAATCATAAACCATTTCATCATCATCCTCACGTCATTGCCTTTCTCTTTTTTAATTAGCTCGCGACCTCGCTGGCCGCAAGCCCTGAGTCAGATGAAGCTGTAAGAGTCGCATAGACTAACAGCGTTAACATGCAGAAACTAGAACTCTGATGAAATAAAGAGAATAGAGAGTGCATCTGTACTCGCGTGTACACTTGGACACAATAATCCTGTCTTGTGAGCTAATCTCCGTTGAGACTGGACGCCACGACCGAAATTCGGTCTGAAAGATATTATTATAATGGTGCAAAATATAACACGAGTAGTTTGTCGGTGTACCGCAGGCAGGCGCTGTTGACGGCGCGCTCGGACACGCGGGACGACGACGACGAGCGGCCGCTCGACGTCGGAGGACCCTCCAGCCCTCCGCCGCCGCCGCCCTCCACGCAGCACACCTCCAGCTGTGAGTATCCCTTCGCAACATTGCTTTTGTTTTAAGAATACATCGCTTGGCGATCGAGATACGTTACGATAAAACACATTTCTAAGTATCTTTCGATTAGCGATCGCTTCTAGCGATAAAACACACAGTTGCTACTGGTAAATCTTTCCATTTGACAAATATTTACAATAACTGTGTATATAAACTCCTACTTTTAGCGAAGAAGCTCGTACTCGCAAATTTTCACGGTACACGAGCAATCCGGCTTCGATTGCCACCGGCACCAACGAATTTGTTAATTGCAAACCCATAATTTACCACGTTCATGTCGGTAAAGGAAAACTGTATTTCTAATAAATAAAATGTTTGAACTGATTTAACCACTGCACGGTGTACTTATTGCTCCATAACCCTCTAAGAAATGGAAGAAAAACTTATCGTTCCCCTTTATTTTGTATGTTCTTATTACATGCGATGGTCAACTTAAATTATTTTCTTGTTCCGCAGCATGGTTCAGTTCTGGAGGTGGCGGCGACTCTGGCGCCGAAGAAGCCGGTTCCGATTCCTCGTGCTCGGGCGGCGCACGGGCCTCCTCACCCCCCGCGGGACCCTCGCGTCCCTCCCCCGCCCCCGACGTCTCCCTCGGACCGCCGGTACAACCTCCACTACTCCCTTACCTTTACCCTCCTTCGTTATACCCGCCTCCCTTCTTTCCGCCGCATCAAATGCCTCCAGGGCTGCTGTTCAATCTTCACCCGCTGCTGCAGCAGTACTCGCTGCCGCCACCACCTGCGCCTCCTGCGCCAGCTCCCGCCCCCTCGCTCTCCAAAACACACAGGTTCGCACCATACGCGTTGCCTGGCTTGGGATCGGCATTTGAGCAAGTGGCGCCGCGAGCGAGAAGCTTGAGCTCGTCACCAGCGAGGCCTCGGGCGGGGTCACCACCAGCGCGTGCGGCTTCTGCCGACCCTCCCCCCGATCCTCCCACATCCACCACAACATCAACAGCCGCTACGCCTCCGGCCTCCGACCTCAAGAGCATCGAGCGTATGGTCAACGGCCTGGACGTCGAGACCCAGGACTGACTCGCGACATAGCCTGTACATAGTATTTATATTGCTCCGGCCTCTCCTCACCAAAAACTGGAGTTGCTGGCGCTTCGTTTTGTATCGTTCCTATTTTGTTTTTTTTCTGTCGAGTTCTATTCGGGTCGATATTCGTATATTGATTGTATATAGTAAGGCTTTACCCTAGGTAAATGTCACGCGGTGGCATCGGTAATCTAGTTACTCACTCCTCGAGTGCACCCACAATCGAAGCTTGCTTCTATGGCAACCATACACATTTAACTGACATTTAGTAATACTGGCACTCTTTCTCTTTCCTTTTCTACTGTTGTATGCTTATAATAAATAAAAATATTACCTCTCCAAGTGTTATTTGTTCACTGTTTATTTTTGTAATGTATGGTTGCTACAGAATCTGGGACGCGTCTGTTCTCTGCAGCATAATCGCCATAGTAGAAAGACGAAATTTAAAACCCACTTACATATTATGACCGACATGGCGCTGCAGTTTACAGGCATTTGTCCACGTGACATACACGTAGTAATCACACATTAGTAATCACATTAGATTCTCCACTCCAATAGCAATAGGGATTAAAATGTTTCCGGCGTGATGGGCTTGTTGATCTGACGCCATATTTAATTCTAACACTCTTTCGAAACTTACACATATATTAAAATGAACGTACATAAACCATTAAGCCTTAGCTCAGACATTTTTGTTCTATCAGGCACTTTTAAATTTCGGCGTTTATTTTTCCCAACACGTGTTTTTCGTTTTCGTACAACCTGTTTAGGTTATGATAAGTATATAGAGATTAATTAAAAATTAAATAATATTAGGGAATTCCAAAGGGCATTTTAAATTTAAGCTGATTGTTAAGTCACGCATTACTAGTATATAATAAGGCTAAAGGTTGACCTGTGTAGGTGTTAATGGCTTATGATCTGAGCAACTGAAATTAAGAAGTTGAACAGCAATGTATGACGTCACTACATACCCATTCCGCTGGACCAAATTGATTATTTCATTTCCCACTTTAATATAATAAAATAATTAAATAATAATCGCTTTCTTTGTAAATACAATTTATAAGGTATATTACGTGTTTACTAATAGACATATTTTGAAAATATGTTTTGTCAATTGTGCTGTGAGGTAAACGTGCGTTTAATTGATGCATTCGACCATAACAGTTATCAGAACAACTAAGAGATATTAATTTATATCTAACTTTTTAGAATCCTCAATTATTTATAAAAAACCTAAATTGTTAAATTTTGAGAGAATAGCAATGAAATATTACTTATTCAGAATGCAATGACTAAACGCACCGAAATAACGATTGATAAAAAATCTAACTTTAAGTTAAAAGTTTGTAATATATAGTTGATAAATTGTAGTTAAAAATTAAAATACAAAATATATAATTATAAATGAATATAATTTTCCATGGAATTCATTAAATTTAAGCACATTTAAAGTTTAACTCGAAATAGATTTACGTGAAGTGCAGTTCATTATTTTTTCTTTGTAAAAGAAAAGCGCAGACGTTGGATAACCGTAAAATTCGTTCATTTGGCATTTTTCTACATTGAATTTAAACAAAAATGTTGCTTCTCAAAATTGACGAGAGACTGTATATTTGACAACTGTAATTGAGATCTATTCATTAAAATATATATAGATAAATCTATTGACGAAATCTATAGTTGTTTTATTTGATCATTATGTATTACTTTCGTATGTTTGCCATGTGATGACCGTGTAAAAGAATATACCACCAGCTTATTGTCCCGTAGGTGTCAAAAGAGAATGAGAAATTTCACAATAATAATGGGGTGTAGTGTAAAAGTTAAGAGACAATCGAACTGCGTTGGAACATGGCCGCTGTGAGATCATTTCATCACATCACTGGTAGACTTACACTAGACCTGATACATGACAATGAAAAGAAGTTAATAGCTTCCAGCTGTATATAAAAGCGTTGGTACGAAAGTATTGGGGATAAAAGTGTTGCGGAGTTGTCAGAATGAAATGTATTATATAATTTAAATTAAATGAAAAATCTCGATTTTTTATCAGTTAAAATAGCTAGAGACATAAAAATAAATTTATGCACTGATCACACTTCGTAGATTAACTGTGCTGAGTTACATCGAAATCTAACAATTAGTTTCAGAGGAGATTGTAAGCATGAGAAGCTTACAGTCCACCTGATGGTAAGTGGTTGCGGTGGTTTTTTTTTATAGGTTTTTTATAGGTCGGCTCGACCGGGGAAGGACCACGCTCTCACAGAAAACCAGTGTAAAATAGCAGCTTAATGCTGCTATGTTTCGTATGGTGTGCGTAGAGAACCGGAGACCCGTTTTACTGGGATCAAGGCATTCCATCTTAGTCCTCAGGGGTGACAACACATCTGCATCTTGATTCTTAATCGAATGTAGATGTCTATAGGCCACAGCATCCACTTACCATCAGGCGGAATGTGTACTCGTTTGTCACCCTTAACCTATAAAAAAAATGTCCGTACCCACAACATTGGAGGGGCGGTGAGTTCAGCGCCAAGACCTTTGCATTGGTAATATTATACCCCGTTACAGGGCTATTATAGTTTGGGTGCGATATCTTTAAAGGCATCAGTCGGATGCCAAAGTTTTGTCCGTTAACCAGCTGGAAAACAAAGACGTCTCTTTTATTTTAGTGCAGTTGTATTATAATGGATCGTTATTTATTTATTAACACGTTGTTGTGCTAAGTTTTATAAAAAAGTTTAGAAGAGACGCAATTGATGCCTTAAGGCATTCTCTTCTGGTCAACCCTGGGCGTAATCAGTTATGATAGGTGTATTATATGGGTAAAATTTTTACATTGAAAATAATACTAACTAAAGCTAAATGAACTAAGGTGGGTGTACCATGGAAGGCCACTTCAACAAATAAACAGTTATTATTCGTTTATTTACTACTTAAAATATACTAACAAATATTTAAATAATACTTTGTTTTATTACGTAACACATAAACCACTTTTTAAATTGCAGATTTAATCAATATTGATTGAACATATGTTTCATTGAACTCTTCCAAATGACCTTGCTAGAAACGAGGCTCCTTAGAAGGCCATTATAATAAATTAGTCTTTTAACACTAAAGTTTAATAATAGCGATTAAATCTACAATAAAAAGAAGTGGTTTATATGTTACGTAATAAAACAAAGTAATACTTAAATATTTGTTAGTTTCATTTATCCAGTAAATAAACGAAAAATAACTGTTTATTTGTTAGAGTGGCCTTCCATAGTACACCTACCTTACGAATTCCCGAGTTTCGATTCCCGAAATCAATGTAGTGAGGGACCGTACTGCCAAAATAGTAGCGCGAGCGATTCGCCGCCGCGTCTGTGATTTTCAATTCGGTGGGTGTTTGTGTAAGTAGAAGGAATTTGTCATCACATGGAAATAACTAAGACATTTTAATAATTGGCCTTCGAAGGAATATGACCTTCCATGGTCCACCTAGCCTTTACCGGTAGGTGGCGTGGTAAGTTACATTCCGGACTTTTTAGTGTAAATATAATATTTATTAATAATTTGGTCACAGCACCATTTACTGGGTTCTGATTTTGTGATTTTCCTGTTTTGGCATTAAACTAATATATGTGAACGCGAGTTTTTATTTTATAAATATATATTTTTATAAAAGTTGACCATAGCTCAGCGCCAGCTTTCGAACACTAGGTTAGCTATGAACGAACAATACAATATATTTCTATTGTCAAAATATATTGTGAGTGTAGAGAACCAAAGACACTTTTTACTGGAAACGAGGAATTCTATCGTTTGCCCTTAGAGGTAGCAACGCATCTGCATTTTGTTTTCTTAATCGAGGATAGATGTATATCTATGGACTACAGCATCCACTTACCATCAGTCGGAATATATGATCGCTTTTCACTCTTATTCTACTTAGAAAAAGTCGTTCAGAAGTTACACGATCTCTTACAAACGCAAAAATGCTTATAATATATGAAGATAATAGAGTTCTACATGATATAGTAAGTATATTTTGGATCTATTTTTGATCCTGAAAATAAAAGATTGATACTGAAAATAAAAGAGTGATCCGTTTGCTCTTTATACAAAACTGAAAGCAATTTGTCACAGTATCTACTACCGTACCCTATTTATTTTATGATCCGACATTTAAAAAATCGACGTAGTAAATTCTTTAATATAGGTACACTCGACAAAAAACAAACCACGCAATCTAGCCTCTTTAATCAAAGCCGTGACAAGAGTATAGAACATAAAAGCCTATTTTTACTACAATTGCCGTACATAACAAGCTTCATGATCCAAGCACAACAATAATTGGAGGCGCTCCCAACACTAAGGCCGCGGACACGAGATCTAATCTCCACGCGCGCTCTCGCGAGGTGTCACGTACGTAATTGCGTCCCCTATCAGATCTCAAACGCGCTATTCGCCCACTTAGCGTATTTGTATGCTAAACTAGTTTTTGTGGTGACTGGGCGAGTGATAACTTTGAATAAGGTGCAACGCAAAACTCCGCTGATGTACGATAAAAAGGTTGGTAAGGCCCGGTGACACTTGCGCGCGTTGCTGGATTGATTAACTGCTCAGATTTGAAGCGAGTCCCGAGTTCATTCATACCCGATTAGTTCGGGTGTGTTACGAGCGTTGTTATACAGCACCGATCTTCATCTCACTACGACTGGAACTACCAAATGGTGTTTAGATGGAGATTATAACAAAAAGAAGATTGGTTTGAAAATTTTAAAGTAAATGTTAAAAATGGTATTCATAATCATAAATACAGCATTACTTTAAACGAAACTCTTAATTAAATGCATATACATAATCTTGTGGTTAATCGTCTGTCAGTGAGTTTTTTTGCCGTTACTGAATTTTTAGGTTATAGCTTCCTCGACGTTTCTAGTCCTTACATATTTATATTGATTATAGATGACCATTGGTTTTTGAATTTAAACGCT